TGTAGTTGCTGTAGTTGGTGTAGTTGGTGTAGTTGGTGTAGTTGGTGTAGTTGGTGTAGTTGCTGTAGTTGCTGTAGTTGGTGTAGTAGCTGTAGTTGGTGTAGTTGGTGTAGTAGCTGTAGTTGGTGTAGTTAGTGTAGTTGCTGTAGTTGCTGTAGTTAGTGTAGTTGGTGTAGTTGCTGTAGTTGATGTAATTGCCGCAGTTGCTGTAGTTGGTGTAGTAGCTGTAGTTGGTGTAGTAGCTGTAATTGGTGTAGTTGGTGTAGTTAGTGTAGTTGCTGTAGTTGCTGTAGTTGGTGTAGTTGGTGTAGTAGCTGTAGTAGGTAAAGTTGGTGTAGTAGCTGTAGTTAGTGTAGTTGGTGTAGTTAGTGTAGTTGGTGTAGTTAGTGTAGTTGGTGTAGTTAGTGTAGTTGGTGTAGTTAGTGTAGTAGCTGTAGTTGATGTAGTTGCTGTAGTTGGTGTAGTAGCTGTAGTTGGTGTAGTTAGTATAGTTGCTGTAGTTGGTGTAGTTAGTGTAGTTGCTGTAGTTGATGTAGTGTATGTAGTTGGCGTAGTATGTGTAGTTGGTGTAGTATATGTAGTTGGTGCAGTTGCTGTAGTCAGTGTGGTTGGTGTAGTCACTGTAGTTGGTGTAGTTAGTGTAGTTGGTGTAGTTACTGTAGATGGTGTAGTATGTGTAGTTGGTTTAGTATGTGTAGTTGGTGTAGTATATGTAGTTGGTGTAGTGAGTGTAGTATGTGTAGTTGGTGTAGTATATGTAGTTGTTGTAGTTGTTGTAGTTGGTGTAGTTAGTGTAGTTCAAGTAGTTACTGTAATTAGTGTAGTATGTGTAGTTGGTGTAGTATATGTGGTTGGTGTAGTATGTGTAGTTGGTGTATTTAGTGTAGTTGTTAACCAAAACTACACTAAACTACACAACCTACATCAAACTTAACCAACTACACAACACCACGCGAAACAACACCTACTAAATCAAACTACACCAACGACACAAAACTACACCAACTACACAAAACTAAACCAAACTACATCAACTACACAAAACTACAGGAAACGAAACCTACTAAACCAAACTACACTAAATTACACCAACTACACAAAACTACGCCAACTACACAAAACTACACCAAACTACACCTACTACACCAAACTACACCAAACTACACCAACTACACAAAACTACACCAAACTACACCAACTACACCAAACTACTCCCACTACACAAAACTACACTAACTACACCAACTAGACCAACTACAGCAACTACACAAACTACAGCTACTACATTAACTACAGCTACTACACCAACTACAGCAACTACAGTTACTACACCAACTACAGCTACTACACCAACTACACTTACTACACCAACTACAACTACTACACCAACTACAGCTACTACACCAACTACAGCTACTACACCAACTACAGCTACTACACCAACTACAGCTACTACACTAACTACAGCAACTACAGTAACTACAGCAACTACATTAACTACACCAACTGCAGCAACTACACCAACTACAGCTACTACATCAACTACAGCAACTACAGCTACTACACCAACTACACTAACTACATCAACTACACCAACTACAGCAACTACACTAACTATACTAACTACAGCTACTACACCAACTACACTAACTACACTAACTACAGTAACTACAGCTGCTACAGCAATTACAGCAACTACAGCTACTACACCAACTACA